TTTGCATTATATCTTAGCTTGATATTGTAATTGTTAAAGGCACTGGTACTTCACTTAATTTGAATACATCTTTTTTTTAATTTAAAAATGCTTCCAATATTTTCACACTCTTCTGAAACTCGATTAAATCATTTAATTCCTTATTAAAAAAAAAAAAAAAAAAAAAAAAAAATTGTTAGAATATACGAGGCTTTTGTAAGGAAAGTGATGTAAATAGGTGTGCCTTTGGTGACAAGTAAATGCCGCGTTTCGATTAAGTGAAATTTTTAAAGCTCCTCAAAACTTTTCTCGCAAGATCGGCAATCGGCACCTGGGCCAACGGAATCGGTAAAGGGCCCGGATGTGTTTTGCGATGTCTCACTAATGTCGAGCGTTGGGTAAAATCATCGTGGCAAATATCACATTTATACGGCCTGACTTTAGCGTGCATGAGCACATGCTGATAATAATTACTTCTTGAAGTGAAAAATTTCTGACAGATAACGCAAGTGATGCGGGGCCTATGCTTCGACTTATGATTCATGAGCTGTCCCGGGCCCATGAACGTTTCATCGCATTCCTGACACTTGTATCTCTGCACGTGTCGCATTAGATGATTTTCAAGCTTACTCTCGCTGCGAAATTTTTTAAAGCAGAGTCCGCATGGAAAGATTTGCTCGTCGCTGAACTTGTCGATTTTCTTCTGATGATGCCACTCGTGAGCTTTTACATTCTTCACGGCCTTGCCGCAATAGCGACATATTTGATAGCTACATATGTGTACCTGATTGATATGCAATATGAGATCCTGCTTGAGCTTGTAACACTTGCCGCAGTGGTCACATCGGAAATTCGGCTCGATATCGCTGTGCACGCGCACGTAGTGATACTGGAGGGTCTCCTCGCGCTTGTACTTGAGGTGACAAATACTACATTCGAAATGCGAGACGGTATTATGGGTCTTGCGGTGCTTTTCCAATACCTCCTGGCTAAAGTATTGACGTCGGCAGAGATCGCACTTGTAAGGCTTTTTATGCACGTTGCGCACGTGCATCGCCACGCGGCGATCGTCTTTGAAGCGTTTATCGCAGAATGGACAGATGTCGCGCAAGCTATCAAAGTCTGTTACACTGTCCTTGAGCCAACTCGGCTTGCGACGCACGCGATACGAGCTGTTCCCGTTCCTAGCGAGTTTCGGGGGATCCTTGGCATATGTTACTTTAGCCGTTAATTGGCAGCCACTGGAGATTCTGAAACATGTAGGACAGCGATTGGTTTATTAGTTCGTGGCCCGAATGCGTGCTTACTAAAAGTCAGGAGACTAAGAGGTCCAAAACTAAGTGAAAGAAGCTCTAGCTACTGGTGCAATCACTTCATTCTCAGTCATGTTTTTCACTATTTACATATAACAAAATTTCAGAGCAGTGACAGGCGTCCGACAGCGCAGCGAACGCGATGATTAGAGATATTTAATAAATAAGGTGTGGTACTGGCTTTGGTCGCAATGATAAAATTAGTACATTTATTAAAAACATGACCTGAACCCATTGATATAAAATCGCCGAAAATCGCTTAAGCTTCAAAGACGATTCTTGATAATTTTATAACAATGAGCGAATAAACAAAAGTTACTAGTCGTAAAAACAAAAAGGAAATAAAGTATAAGTAAAAGCAAGCGTTAAAAAAATAATCACTGACGTCATTTTATAGTAAATATATATCTTGTATGATTATATTAATTATATAAAGTGTCATAAGATATTAAAGTCTCGAGCATTATGATGGACGTAACATAAAATAAAATTAAAAATATCGAGTGGTGCAAATCGGTCTTGGACTCTTCGACTCTCTTCTTTCATTACGTCTGGAAAAAAAAAAAACAAATAAAATTGATGTGTACAAACATAGACACATTGATAAAAATTTATGTATGCACACGCGCGCATAGGCACGCGAAATTTATCTTTGTAAAATTTTTGACTTATGTTTAAAAATTTACCTACTCTTTTCTGCTGTAAATATTAAGGCATAATTAGAAAATATTAATCATATACTTTTAAAAAATAAAATGTGGAATTAACAATATTGATAAATACAAATAACAGCAATAATTAACGAATCATCTCAAAATTAAGTAATTATCAATAAATCTATTAAAAGGTAAATAAGATAAATAACGAAGAGTAGTGCTTAATTCAATAGATAACAAAGTCATTAAATATAAAAAATTTGTTTATTTAGAATTTTTCGCGAGATACATTGGTATTATGCATAAATGCACTTAATAACAAAACATGAACATGTAATAAATGAACTTTTTATATCGCACTCTCAGATTTTTGAACAATCATTTTTAACGAATGTTTCAATTATAACTTTCAATTATAAAATTGATAAAGTGCCGAGGAGCCTGTGTTGCACTTATATCATCAATTGATATAAAAATTTAAATCATTTGTAAGACTATTAAATGAAAATAAATATTAACAATATTTTCTCCATTTGGTTATCGAGTTAATCTTAACACAAGTTTCATTATGGGAAATCACAATCCTATAGTTTTAAGTTACGGAAATAGAAAATAATTCTTATATTAAAATAATAGTTCGATAACAATTAACTTTTGATAGTTGATTGGTGATATGTTTGAATGTTAAAAATTGTAATCTCAATAATTTATTAAAACATTTTATCTCATTTGATCATTGATTATATATATCATCATATATCATATTAAATTGAATTTCAATAGATTCTCAACTGAATTGTACGTGTTTTACTTTCTTTTTTATTCATCCTATAAAATATATACTCAAAGAATTTCAACTATTATTATAACTACAAGATATAAAATGATCCGAGTCAAGTAGATAAGAATGTATATTATAGATAAAGTATTTTATCTTTTGGTATGATATCCGAAACAATATCCCTGACGTAGTGATCGTAATAAGTAACAATCACATTTTTCATCACTATATAATAAATGTTTAACATTTAATGTTCGTCAAAATTCGAATATATTAACACACAATTAACGAAGTCGTTTAACAAAAGTTTGAGCATTCAACCGACGAATTTAGACAATTTTATATTGAAAATATTCCTTCCATAATGTTCTGTTTAAAAATATATACAAATATAGCAAAAAATACCTTTAAAATAATAATTATTAATAGTAATACTCAATATATGTAAGAAATTTTTCAAATAATCATCAGAAATTTAAATAATAAAATTTTTTATCACTTAATGTAAGTAAAATTAAAAATATTTATTAATAAATATTTTATATTTAAGAGGCGATCAATAAAGTCAGTCGAATTATTATTGTTTATTTCGATTTTGAATATTTCAATAATTTATAAAAATCTTTATCAATGTAAAATAAAACTTTATAAAATTTCATATATATATATATATGAATAAAGTTTTGATTCAATTGAAATTAAATGAATTGACTGTCTATTTTCAAATAAAGGAGAATACTTTGTACAAAACTGCGCAAATGAAAATATAGTACTGAGTATATTAAAGTGTTCATCATACAATCAGTAAAATATGTATTATTAACACGTAATAGAAGCAAATCATTTAATTAAAAAGTCTATAAAAAAAGTGTTCCGTAAAAAAAGAAAAGAAAAGAAATTATTAAATACCTATTGATTCTTCATAATTTGCAAAATATTTACATAACTGAAGTATATGTAGTTTGCTCATTATTATTACTATTATTATAAAATGTTTCGATTTCTAATATTTTCGTAATAAAAAAAAAGAAAAAACGAAAAAAATAAAATAGAAAAATACTTATATTCGGATAAATTCTTTTTTGGTAAAAGATTTTGAACATATGTTCAAAACGATATCTTTAAAGATACAATATTAAATATTTTATGTTAACTCAAGAAATAACTATATTAATTTAAAAATTCTCGTAAGATCGTACTTGTTGGCAAGTATCAGATTAGCCATCCACACAAATCACTAATAGTTCATATAATAATTAATTCTAGATTAAGAAGGCATCTTTTTCATATGGCTCGACTTACGCATCATCAAACATAAGAATATACTTAATAAAAGTATAATAATAATAAACAGTTTCTTTGCATTTATACACATGTTGACTTCTGATGAGCCGTCAAGTTTCCTTGACAAGAGAAACCTCTCTGGCAGATTTGACAAACATAAGGTCTCTCCCCGGTGTGACCTCTCCTATGGATGGTCAGAGTCGACCTTTGACTGAAGGCTTTTGGGCACTGATCACACTTGTATGGCTTCTCTCCTGTATGGACTCTCCTGTGCATCCTAAGATTTTCCGAGTCCGTGAATCCTTTTCCACATATGTCGCACACATAGGGCTTTTCACCAGTGTGTATTCGCCGATGTTTCTTGAGATGTTCCGCACTACTCAGGCTCTTACCACAATAATCACAGAGATACAATTTGATCGGGTTATGACTTTCCTTATGCCTAAATAGAGAGCGTTTGGTGGCCAAAACCCGGCCGCAAATGTCACATGCTGTGCTAGTCACCTTTTGCGCTTTCAATTCTGGGTGAAGACGCCGGCAGTGCGCCGAGAGCTGCCTCCTCAGGAAAAATGCACTCGGGCAAGCCTGACAGACGAAGGGCTTATCGCCCGAGTGTATGTTGTAGTGCTCTTGGAGTTCGGTTGCCTTTCTGAATCGTTTGTCACACTCGTTGCACTTAAAGGGTAAATCCGCTTTATCGGTGTGCCTTGCCATATGTATGCTCAATGCCGCGAGCACTGTCGTTTCGTAATCGCATTCCTTGCACATGTAGCTCGGTAGAAAGTGCGTCTTTTCGTGACGCGTGAGATCTCGAAAGAGACGGAATTTTTTTGGACAGTGCTTGCAAGTCAGATCGCCTACTGTGTGCCTGACGAGATGCTTTTGGTAATTGCTCTTGTGTCGGAATACTCTGCCGCAGGTCTTGCATACGTACTCCACATCCTCTTGTTCGTCCTGAATCTTTTCCTTGTAGGCTCTTTTCAGGCTCTTGTGACGCTTTATATGCTGCCGGAGACTTAGAGTTGTGCGACAACTTTTGCCGCATTGTATACAGCCGTATCTCTTCTTTACCTTATGGTAAGCTAATAAATGAGAATCGAGAAGGTCCTGGGATGCGAAAAATACACCGCAGGGCTTGCAGTAGTAAGCGAGTGGAAGATCGTCGTCGAGCATAATCTCTTCGTGATTTTCTTCGACCTTTACGACCACAGGTTCGGATTCGAGTCTTTTCATCTGCTGCTTCTTCTTCGTAATTATCGATGTAGGGATTGCAGAGAAGACGATTCCGTTTTCTGATACTAATGTCGGTTTTTCATCAATTTCTTGGTCCAATATTGTCAGTGGATAATAGCGCTCGGGGAAGATGAATCTGAAATATGAAAGAAAAATCGTCGGCTGAGTTAATAATGGATCATCAATAATACTCACTTTTTTTTTTTTTTTTTTTTTTTTTTTTTTTTTTTATATAACAATTATTTTAGGCCTTTGATTTCCCGAGATTATATTAATTTCAATAAGAGATTATATTAATTTCAGAGGATATTGATTATTTTTAAAATTATTTTAAATTTTGGGGTAAATTATTCGACAAAGCTTCATGTAATAGTGAAAATCTCTAATAATACAATTAAAAGCCGAATTATTATTGAAAACCATTTTGACGATAAAACAGTGTGAACAAAGTGTATAATTTGTTATCAATAATTTAAAAACGATAATCAAAATTACATAGAAACTAGTATAATTTAATTAAAAAATTAAAAGATAATTATCAATATTATGGAAGAATAGTTAAATACAGATAAAATTAATAATGCGCGATGATATTCTATTCATTTATGTAGCCGCATATAATACCGTAAAAATGATAAATTTGTAGATAATACATAAGAATAATAATAGACTGAAATTTAAATTATAAACCATTTATTTAGTAAAATTGTACATTAATATATTTCAAATGTATTAATTTATGTATCAATATAAAAATATAAAAAATACATCGAACATACAAAATATTATTCTAATTTAATACTGTAAAGATATTAAAATACGTATTGTAACGATTATAAAATATATTATCTCTGACTAAAATTCACCATAAAAAGTTATTCTCAAATATATTTAGAACAGTATGTTAATTATCATTTAATTGGAATGAAAAATACGAATGCGAACTTCAGTAAAGATATTAAACTTAAACCTTATATGTATCTATCTATCTGTGTGTGTGTGTGCGTGTGTATGTGCGTGTGCATGCGCGCGCCCGCGTCTGGGTATGTGTATTCGTATGTGAGAGCGCGCGCGCGTCTATATATGTAATAATAATAATTTATTTTTTGATTAATAAGTTAAATGCTTGAGTTACTTTTAATCATTTTAGTAGAGCAATAAAGGATATTAAAATACAGATTTCAATAATTAATATTTTAGTTAGTCAATTCTGTAGTCAACATTAACGTTTGCTATTTTATCACAATTATCACAAAATGAGGTACCGACAAATGCAATACAAAAACATATTTTGCATTTATATAAAAATATTAATACAAAAAATTGATATTCTAATTTATCTCAGTATCTCAGCATGAATTTAATTTACAAATAATAATATTGTTACCGTCATGTAATTTACTAATTATTTGTAATTCAAATTATGAATAATTGTAAGCACATTTAAGATTTATTGGCGTTGAAAATAAAAAAATGCTTTGATTGATTAGTATTTAATCACTAGGTACAGGTTATTTAAATATGAAACAAACAATAGAAGTTAAGACTGATAATGAACGTAGTTATTTACAATCGATGGATGATTAGTGACGATATATCTCTATATTTATATAAGTACCAAATAATGAAGCTTATAAAAAGTAAAATTATATTAAATTAAAATCTTAGTAAATAACAATTATAATAAGCTTAACGACACTGAAATTTTAAAAAAAAACCTGCGAATTTCTAATAATCCACCCAAATTCGAATGTAAAACAGTTTTACAAATTTAATAGCTTCAATATAACGGTTCTATCACACGTTTCGACACTGGTGCCCGAAAGTAACAACACATCAAACTATATCGATCAACAAATTTCTCTTAATTAGAAAAGCATTAAGCCGTAAAGCTCGCATGAATCTTGCTATGACCATTTAATAAAGCCTTAGACACAAAAGATTTGTTACAAATGCTGCATTGATAAGGTCGCTGGCCAGTATGGTATCGCCTATGTATCACCAAAGTTGAGTGTTGAGTAAAAGCCTTGCCGCAAGTCTCGCAAATATAGGGCTTTTCCCCAGTATGGGTCCTCTTATGAACAACGAGGGTCGTCCTTTTGTGAAAGGCCTTGCCGCAAACGTCGCACGTAAGGCTCTTCTCGCCGCCGTGAAGTCTCAGGTGATCCTGTAGCGATCCCTTCGACGACACGGATTTGCCGCACAGGTGGCAATCGTATTTGTTCTCGCCGGTATGTGACTTAACGTGAGCAACCAGAGAATTCCTGTAGGCGAAGGTCTTGCCGCAGAATTCACACTGGTGCTTGATCGGCTCGAAGTCCGGATCGTGACTCCTCGCGTGCCTTGCCAGCGTGTGGCCGTTAGGCAGAGATTTCCCGCAGACGTCGCATACGTGCTCCTTAGCGCCGTGCTTGCTGTTCATGTGGCTATGTAATTCCGCATTGGTGAAGAAGCCCTTGTTGCAGAGGATACAGTGGCGCGTGTAGCGATCGAAGTGCCGACGCTGATGATTTGTGAGCTGGGAGGCTTGGACGAAGGCCCGGCCGCAAACGTCGCATACGAAGTTGCGCTCGCGCGTGTGGATTCGCCGGTGGACGGACAAAGTATTGGTGCGTTTGAATGATTTCAGGCAAATGTCGCATTGATGTGGTCGCGCGTCACTATGGGCTATCATGTGGCCGTCAAACAGGTTCTTCGCCTTGAAGCGCTTCGAGCACAGTAGACACTGGTACCCTGCTTAGGAAATTCATAGGTGAGACGCGACGAGGCTAACTGCAAGAGATGCTTCGCAAAATATGTTTTCCCGTTATATATATTTTTTCTTTTTTTCTTTTTTTTTGTCAAATCTTTCGGGATTCAACGCGGCAATAATTGTCTTACAGTACGGTTGGAGTCGATTAGCTTTTAAGTAAAATCTTTATGCACTCTCCTAGCAATTAAGTAAAACAGTATTTTATATGGAAATTCGAAATTGTTTCATATCAAATACAATATTTACACTGTTGATAGGCTGAGCTTTTCTATTACATAATATAACGTATATATGTAAAAAAAAAGAAAAAAACAAAATACAAAAAACAAATTTTCAACAAACTGCAATCCTTTCTTTTTAAACTAATCGACTTAACTCTTAAAAAGGAAAAAAGAGAGTTTTAAACAAAGTTAAATATTCGATGTAAGTTACGATTTAAAGCATGAGAACATTGACAAAAAAAAAAAACACCTTAAAGCTAGTTTTTATTAAGGTCATCAATAAATGTGTGATTTTGAGTGTTTGAAATTAGTTACATTAGACAGTAAATATGATAAACTGATTAGTAAATGATTGAAAAATTAATTTTACAATTAAACACTACCGGCAATTAATAACAATAAAATTTACTTATTTCTCCATTAACCTTAAATTAAATGACGATTAAAATGTACTTTAATTCAACTATTCATGTAAATAAATGCAATAAAAATTCTAACCAAGATAAAGACTTTGGTGATCACTCGAAAGGGAATTATCTTTAACACTGAAAATTGCTAAGGGATCCAATTTTTCCTTCTTCTGCACTTCCACTTCAGGATATTTTATTAAGTCCATGTTGCGCAAATTTCCTTCGTAGAGAGAGAATCTGAAAATAGAATAATAAAAATGATTAATTTAATACTGTACTTATGTAAACATATTTACTTTTTGTTTAATCACCAAGTGAATATATTAATATCACAAATTCTAAATTAAAAATGTGCACGTTATTTTTTTATTTGCTTGCATTATTTAGCATTTCTTACTTACGCTGAAGTACGTAGTGAATCTTAAAAGTAAAATAATAAAGTTTAAATTATTTTGGGTATCTGAAATAAATATTAAGGCAATATTAGAAATTATAATAGAACGATTAAATAGAAATAACTTACCTTTTTGATTATATCAAGAGAAATGATGTATTTACAACATAAATAAGAATATTAAAACTATATTATTCCGTCATATAATATTTTATTACAGAGCTGAAAATATATTCTATACATTTACAAGTCGACGATAAAAGTGTAATGTATTCATAAAACGTTTATTCAAAATGCAATAAAAATGTTTAATTATTATTATTATTTTTTTTTTTTTTTGTACAAAAGAAAAAAATTTAATATATTAATGTTGTAGTAGTCGATCATAAATCAGTTAACACTAGAACACTATTAGAATATAACTTTTCCACAATAACTGAAAACTTCATCTTAATATTAATAATTAATATTAAGTATCATAATAACTTAACATAAAACTTCAAATATTTTTGAAAGAAATATTTAATATCATAAATATGTAGTACATTGGTTGATATCATTTAATTGATAAACATAATTTATTTTTAAATTATTATTGAGCACATTCTCTCGCATACTCTATATTACATAAAGATTTGGGATCAATGAATTAATGAAAAAATAATAAAATAATAATGGAAGGAATAGTCATCATAGCAATATTTCACAAATTATTCAAAATACATTGTCATTCATTAATATCGACATAGTGTCGATTTCATAATAATTAATATTTTTGCTTAACAATCATTTGATTATTCAAATTCAGTTGTTTATTGATTTTTTCGTTTTATCATCAATCTTACATTTTAATATCTGTCCATTATTGCCTATAAACATATACATTTTTTTACATATACATATTATATAACTCTGTTTTTTACATATTAAATTATATTACAATGCTTTTGTGAGAAATAAAATGTGGAGTATATCAATGTAATTTTAATAGAAATTTAGTTAATGATTATTTTATTTTATTTTGAATTCTATGAAAAAAATGTAGATTATTTTGCAATTAATGAAAAATCTAATTGATTTAGAGTGCGCTAATTCATTGATAAATACTTTCTAATATGTTATCTATGTACTCGTAAAATTTCATAACAATTAATATGAAGAACTGTGTAATGTATTTAGAGAAATGTTATTTATTGAAAAATTTAATTTACTAGCTCCAAATTATAGTACTAAAAAATAAATGAATATACGATATTTGCAAAGTATTAACATCGTTGACAGAAATTTAAATAAAATTATTGTAATGAAATTTTATCATAAATGATAATTTATCGTTTAAATATATCTTATAAATGATATTGAGTGTGTAAAGTCATTTGAAAAGGATAATAGTTTGTGTGCGTGCGCTGCGTTTCTGTATATGTTAAATTTTAAATTTTATTTCAAATATTCGGGAACAATGCTTTGCAGCTTCTTTGTTATGCAATGAAGTTTTTGGTAATAAATTTGTATTTTTTTATTACCAAAATACGATTTTCCCTATAAAAAGAAATGTAAAAATTAACTTTTGCTATATAAAATACAAAAAAAATGCAGATTAAATTAAGCTCGCAATAAGTATTTTAAGCATATAATCAAAATAAATAAACGCAGTAATATTATAAAATGTAAATTAAATATTTAATTGAATCTATGTACAATATAATATAAAAATGCTAGATAGCAAATTCGCTTTACGTACTGATTATCTGTCGGTTTAATTTATAACCAATCATTATTTTATGATTCATGTAATAATATTGCGCATACAGTTTTAAGATTGTTTTCTTAATATACAATATTATTTATTTTATGAGTTTTTTTTTCTTTTTAAATCGTATTATCAATTATAAATAGAAAAATATTTCATAAATTCATGAATTATTATTGTAGTGTAATATTTCAATGACTAGTTAGCTATTAGAAACGATTTCATTTTTAGTAAAATTTTAAATTGTACACTCTATCGTTTACGTATTAAACAATTATAAAGAAACAATATGATTACTTATAGTGTAATAATTTAACTGCACTATATTAAATATTTGAATCGTTTCATAATTGTATTGAATATTTTCTTTAAGGTCATTGTTTATCAAACTTTATCAAGGAATCAATTTGACACCGTTATTATTTAATTAAGCGGTCAAGGTACAATACATTTACAGTGATATTATACGTGCCCTTTGAAATTAATAAGCAAAATATCAATACTATATTTCACATAATTTCATAAAATGCGCTCTACTCGTTCTATTTGATTAATAAAATCATTGGAAATCGTGAACGATTATATGGCCATACTTTATGGCCCATTCACTTTTATGAATAATGCAAAACAAACTGTTTATACATTAAAAACAATTCCTTTAGCACATGATTTTAGTTAATTAATTTCCCTGTATTTTCATAAAAATTCTGTTAATTGGTTTGACCAAACCATGTACGAATCGATCATTTATCCTTATAATATATAACTTATCAAATTTTACAATCATTATATAAATTTGTAGAAACTTGATAATGGATATCCTAACGATGATGGCAAAATAAACTAATTTTCCAACATTTATCACTTGATAAACGCGAAATAATACGCGAAATAAAGAAGAAATCTATATGCGGTCTTTACGAAAACGTTAATTTTCTTTTATAAATTTTTATTAGCGAAGAAACAATTTACCGTGATCATAGTAACTATTATATTCATTTTAAGATAATAAGTGCCGTCAATTGGAATTCGTTGACTTTAGTTAACAGAAATTTCTTCTATAACTTCCGCGAGTGGAATATCTTCCGTAACATCGTTAACAGGAATGTCGTTTATAACTTCAATTTCGCCATTATCACTATCCAATTCTTCCTTAAGGACTTCCACCTCGCCGTTTATTATTTCACCTTCCTCGTCCAATAACTCTATCTCTTCCATATCTTCATCGATCATATCGTCGTCCATCTCACCATCTTCTTTCACTATTTCCACAATAGCTCCGTCCTCGATTAACGCAACCTCGCTCTCAGTCTGTCCCTGCTCTTCTTCATCTTCGGCGCCACTTTCGCTCGCATCCTTCTTAGAGTTGCTACGAGCGGCACATGTTTCTTGAGGATGATGCTTCCTAAAATGTAGTGTAAGCGTGCCTCGTTGCGTGTACCTTTTGCCACATATTTGGCATTGGTATGGCTTTTCGCCAGTGTGAGTGACCCTGTGTTTCGTAAGATACTTTCGCACGCTAAATCCCTTTCCGCAATACTCGCATATTTCCGGCTTCTCACCTGTATGTATCCTCGAGTGTATTTTCATATAGGCCTTGCGCACATGCTTGCCGCATATATCGCACTCCATTTGCCCTTCGCCCGTGTGCTTGTACATATGCTCGGTGAAGCAGGTCTTGTAATACGTCTCATAGCCACATTCGTCGCAATGGTACTTCTTCCGAT